GGAAAAAGCAAATGAAAAATAATATGGTTTCTGAAAAATAAAGCTGAAACATGACAGAAAATTCATCAGTAGTCCATATTTTATAAATGAACCTCCAGGGTCAAGTACACAGAGATACAAAATATTTTTAACAATAGCTCTGAGCATCCATGGTGTGTGACAGCTGCATACAACTTTATAGAACATATAACAGACTGTACTGGGCTCAATTTTTGCTATATATTTTATATCATACATATATATATATAATGCCTGCCACTTAGTAAGCATTTATTATTCTCTTTATGTTATTAACACTTGAAAATGATTTTTGGAAAGTTAAAAAAAAATAATTCTAGATGACTCAGACATAATTTCTCCATTATCATCACATCCTTTGGAAACACTTTCTCCACTGGCCAAACATACAAGTCTAAGTGATGTTAATGACAATGATAATAATCATCTAACATTTTTTGTGGGAACGTTTTATCTGTGGTAGGTTCTGCTCTAAAGTCTCTCAAGAACTCTTTTGTATTTATTATATTTCCTCTTCTTTCATTAAGGGAAATGGAGGCACAAGAGTTAAATAAGTTGCCACTGTCACTGGGCGGGTAAGTGCCTGTGCCAAGCTACAAGTTGGGAACACTTGGCTCCTGAATTTATGTTTCGAATCTATTCACTATTCTACCTTGCTGCTCAAGGGTGATTTATAAGAATCAATCACAATGACCAAAGCCTTCCCTTCGTGCATACAAAAATGATTTTAAAAGTCTATGCTGTTTTCAGATTTAAACTTGAACCACAAGCCCACATTTATTTAAATTTTAAGTGAGTGACATTCCGAATTGCAAACAATTTTCTACGAAGACCTTGGCTAAACCAAAAGATCTAACGTAATTGGCACATATTCAAGCACTGTGTCCTATAATCTTCCTACTTGGAGGTTCTCAGAATACAATCTGTCTCTCCCAAAGCTATCTGCTTCTCAGATTAACCCTCACTGGCTTCCAGCGTAGGATGAAGCCACAGAGAACTGAAAGGTCCCAGAGGTATGTGTCATTAAACCCCAGTAAATTTCCAGCTGGTCTGACAGCCCACCTACACAAGAAAGTAGACCAGAAAGAATAATATCCTCAGCCGATGCATAAACTTTATCATTTCTTTGGCAGGAATTAAGATGAGAAAACCTGAAGACATGAACATTGTTCATTTCATAGGAAAATACTTACTAGTCAATATGTCACCAAATACAGTGTAAGTTAGTACAGGTTACTGCAGAGAGCCAGAGAAAAGCCCTGTTATCACTTTTCCCTTTTTCCCAAGGAATAATGAAACATCTACTGAAAATAAGCTCATAAACAAAGACTGGTTGAATTTGGAGTTCTCACTGGAATAAATGCAAGTTAGGGAGATGAAAAGAAGAGTGATTTTATTTTAATCTAAAAAAATTTGAATTTGAATTTGCATCCAAGTTTATATTTTGGTTTCCTTTGCCTGCCTTCATTTATCGGAATTAGGAGAAAGACATAAACACTGAGTGGAAATGCCCTTACAAATAAATATTTCCTAAAACAGATGGAAAAGTAAAAGCCAAAATAAAAGAAAAAAATCCTTATTAACCTTAAGGCAGTCCTGTGGCCAGAAGGAGAAACATCGGTTATGAAACTCAGGCTTAGTTCCGGCTAAATAAAAACATTAATCTATTTGCATCATTTAAGAATTCTGTGCCATGCTAGTTGTTAATTTGGAAGCGAATAGTGATGCCTACTGCAACCTGATCTGGTTTTTTCTGGCATCCATATCCCTGAGTATTATTCAGTTTGTGCCAGGTATTCCCTTCTTCCCTCTTTTAGGGCAGAATAAAGACATTTCAAAGGATTGCCATTAGCTAAAGAGGTTTCCCAGGAACAGGAAAAAAACAAACTTCCTGGCTTGAGATCCCAGGCCCTTCCTGCTTAAATGACCTCTGGCGTGCCCATGTCCTGGATGTGAGTGTGACTCCCCTCCAGTCCTGCCAAACCACCTGCCATCCCCTCCAAGCACTGTGGGCTTCAGGCCTCTCTCACCATGTCACCTATGCAGCTCCCCAGAGTCAGGGTACAACTCTTCCCTAGAAGAGCTTCCCTGACCAAGCCAGGTGCCTCCTTTTCTACCTCCCACCCCTCTGCCTTTGGCACATCTCACAGTCGTCTGCTAATAATAGAACTCTTTGAAGGCTGGGGCCACACACTGTTAGTATTTGTTTCCCTAATGCCTAGGCAAGAAAATAATGAATGATTCTTTTTGAGGGTGGTGGGGACTTTGGGGGAGGTGCTAGTACCTTGATTTATCAGAGACTGCACTAGATGCTGTGGGTAATGTCACGTAACACTATGATAGGTGGAATTATCAGTCCCATGTTACAGATCGTAAAACAGATGTTCAACTTGATTAAACAACTTTCCCGATAGAATGCCAATGTAAGTCAAAGAAGTGGAGTCAAATTCTGTTTTGAGTTTAGACTCTAGGCTCTCTACTCTCCTATTTTGAAATAATAAATCCTTAACCTTCTCTCTTCATAGGCAGATATCAGAATTCCACTAGATCCTGAAGCCAACGCCCAGGAGACATGACTTTGCACCATCCTATTCACTACTTTATTTTTTTTTCTTTTGGCATATTATGGGGGTACAGATTTTAAGGTTTCAATAAATGTCCTTTCCCCCCTCCCCCCACAAGTCTGAGTTTCCAGCATGACCATCTCCCAGATGGTGCACATCTCACTCATTATGTATGTATGTATGTATATGTGTATGTATGTATATGTGTGTGTATGTATATATATATATATATATACACCCGTCCCTCTCCCCCCTGCCCAATACCCTATTACTGTAGTACCTATGTGTCCACTTAGGTGCTGCTCAGTTAACAGCAGTTTGCTGGTGAGTATATCTGGTGCTTATTTTTCCATTCTTGGGATGTTTCACTTAGTAGTATGGGTTCCAGCTCTAACCAGGAAAATATAAGATGTGCTATATCACCGTTGTTTCTTAGAGCTGAATAGTACTCCATGGTATACATATACCACATTTTATTAATCCATTCTTGGATTGATGGGCACTTGGGCTGTTTCCACAGCCTTGCAATTATGAATTGTGCTGCTATAAACATTCGAGTGCAGGTGTCTTTTTTGTAGAGTGTCATTGGATCTTTTGGGAAGATGCCCAGCAATAGGATTGCTGGATCAAATGGTAGATTCACTTGTATCACTTTAAGGTATCTCCATATTGCTTTCCACAGAGGTTGAACTAGTTTGCAGTCCCACCAGCAGTGTAGGAGTGTTCCTCTTTCTCCACATCCACACCAGCATTTGTTATTTGGAGACTTTTTGATAAAGGCCATTCTCATTGGATTATTCACTACTTTATAAATCTTTACAAGTTGAATTTCTAAACATCAGCCAAAATTTGAAGAGTTTTAGAGGGTGAAGAGAGGTTTCTCGTAGCCCCCAAATTTAAAACATGGTGTTTACTATGCTCAGAACAAAGTGACTTCTGCCTACCAGGCTTTGATCAATACAGGTAGTTCCTATAAAGTTGTACTTGCAGTATAGACATGTCATTTTTTCCTGGACAATATCCACCACAATCTCCTAACAATTTGGTAACACCACACAACTTCATTCTTGGGAACTTCTACTCTCACATTTCATATTGTCTTGGGGGAACTATCTATAGTTAGGCTTTTGTCCTGCTACCCAAAATATAAGCAGAGGACTCTCACTAGGTCGATTAGACTTTCTCCTCTAAAATTTGAATTCCGTACCAAGTAACTAAAAGAGTGTTTGCAGTTAGAGCTGAGTAATCCCAGTGCTCCCAATGGAAAGGATCTCCATCTGTTCTTCCCACCAAGTGCTAAGATTCTTAAAACCATCTTGTTCCCCTCTCTCTGAGGCCTCCAAGTCTCTTTCCAAAAATTCCCTTGTTTTGCTTGAGTTAGCTAAGTGTTGCTCCTGTCCTTTGCAATCAAAAACTCCAAGTGGCATGACCACATATATATAAATGATACGACTCTTGTTTCCTCGCTTTCTCACTTGAAGGGGAGCTGAAATCATCTTCCAGCCATTTTAAACTGAAGCTTGAAGACATCAACTGTTATTACCAAGTATCCATAAAGCTTTTTAAATCATTGATTTGAAAATATTAGTATTATAAAACACAGGAACAGATACTAATGTTTATAGTATGCATTCTTGTGTGTTGGGGGGAGGAGATGAATAATTCAAGTAAAAGGGAAATAACAGATAAAGCTGCCTTCTGATTTTCACAAACAAAAAAGCATAGTCTATAATAACCACTGTATAAATCCTCACCTGAGTAGGCATAGACATAAACAGTCCCCTTCTTCCTAGAAGGAAACCATCTTACAGAGATTCAGTAACTTACTAATGGTTACAAATTTAGTCATTCAAATACAACTGGTCTCACTGCAAAGTAAATGCTCTGCCCACCACCATAAGACGTTACCTCCAAGTAACACACTTCATTACAATTTACCCCAAACAGTTCTAACATTATTTAACTCATTTCTTAGCCTCCTTGTTTAGCAGTGCAGTAATTTAAGCTGCCTAAAATCAGTAGAAATGGATCCTACCCTTCTCTATACCTAAGTCCTTTTATGGCTAATAACAAGTCTATGTGTATAAGAATTGCTCCATCAGGGAGGAGGACACAAATCCAAAGGGTTGGGACAATCCACAAACTGTGCCACCACCCTTGAATAATAAAGAGAATTTCAGCGTATAGGATTCAATGTTAAAAATAAACTGCTTTAGAGATTTGTTTGATAACAATGTAAATGTACCTAACACTACTGACTATACATTTAAAAATGGTTCAGATGCCAGATTTTATTATGCATATATTACTATAATTAAAAATACACACACATATGCACACGCACATGCACATGTATGTATGCACACACATATACACTGACTATATTATTTCCAGAAGCAAAAGTCAGTTTTGTCTTACATCGACTTGGTGGATTCCACTGAGGAATATGAAGCAGGTTGTCTTCTGCCACATGCTCTAATGAGCAAATCTTTACCTCCCAGCACATGACATCAAGCTTTCAGAAACAGACACAGCTTGGTCTGGAAAGGTCAGCCCTGCTGAACTCAGAGCAGCAGTACTGTCAAACCGGCATCAGCTGGAAGACTAACTGAGATTGGTCTAAGGTACAGAAAGAAAAAAGAATGAAAAAAAAAATGAAGAAACTGTCAGAGACCTATGAAACATCATCAAGCACAGCAAAATATTCCTAATAGAAGTCCCAGAAAAATAGGAGTGATAAAAAGGGACAGAAGATGATCTGAATAAATAATGGTGGAAAACGTTGCAAATTCAATGAAAAGCATTAATATGCACATCCAAGAAGCTCAAAGAACTCCAGGTCGGAAAAACTTTAAAAGATCCACACCTAGACACATCACAATCAAACTGTTGAAAGCCAAAGAAAAGACAGAATATTGAAGCAATCTATGTTCATCAGAGTTATTAGCCTGTAAATTTCTTTTCTTGTAGTGTCCTTATCTGGTTTTGCTGTCAGTGTTATGCTGGCCTCGTAAAATGAGTTTGAAAGTAATCCTTCCTCTTCAATTTTTTGGAAAAGTTTGAGAAGGACTGGCATTAATTCTCTACATGTTTGGTAGAATTCACCCATGAAGCCATTTGCTCCCAGGCTTTTCTTTGTTGGGAGGTTTTCGGTGACTGATTCAATCTCCTTACTCATTATTGATCTGTTCAGATGTTCTCTTTCTACATTTTTCAGTCTCAGAAAGTTGTATATTCCTAAGAATTCATTTATTCTAGGCTAACAAATATATTGGCGTATAATTGTTCATAGTAGTCCCTCATGATCCTTTGTAATTCCATGGTGTCAGTTGTAATGTCTCCTCTTTCATTTATAGTCTCATTTATTTGAGTCTTCTCTCTCCACCCATCCCCCACTTGGTTAAAGATTTGCCAATATTTGTTCATCTTTTCAAAGAACCAACTCTTGGTTTCATTGATCTTTTCTATTGTTTTTCTAGTCTTTACTCATTTCCTCTCTAATCTTTATTATGTCTTTCCTGCTGCTGATGTTGTGCCTAGTTTGTTTTTCTTTTTCTAGTTCCTTGAAATGTAAAGCTAGGTTGTTTATCTGAAATTTTTCTTGTCTTAATGTAGACATGTCTCACTATAAACTACTCTCTCAGAACTGCTTGTGCTGTATCTCCTAAGTGGTGGTGTATGGTAAAATATAAAGAAAAATCTCAAGATTTTTTTTTTTATTTCCCTTTTTGATTTCTTCTTTGATCCATTTGCTGTTCAGGAATGTGTTGTTTACTTTACATGCATTTGGGAATTTTCCAATTTTCTTCCTATTATCCATTTTTAGTTTCATATCATTGTGATTAAAAAAGATACTTGAAATGATTTCAGACTTCTTGAATTTGTTACAACTTATTTCATAGCCTAACATATGATCTGTCCTGGAAAATCGTTCCATGTGCCCTTGGGAAAAATGTGTATTATGCTGCTGTTAGACAGGAATGTTCTGTGTATGTCTGTTAGATCCACTGGGTCTATAGTGTTGTTAAAATCTGCTCTTTCCTTATTGATTTTCTGTCTGCATGATCTATCTATTGTTGACAGTGGGATGTTAAAGTCCCTTCCTGTTATTGTACTGCTATTTATTTTTCCTTTCAGCTCTGTTCTTACTTTATACATTTAGATGCTCTAATACTGGGTGCATAAATATTTATAATTTATAACTTCTTGATGACTTGACCCCTTTCTCATAATATAATGACCTTCGTTGTCTCTTATGATCATTTTTGATTGAAACTGTATTTTGCCTGATGTAAATACTGCTTTCTTTTGGTTACTGTTTGCCTGGAATATCTTTTTCCATTCCTTCATCTTTCAGCCTGTGTGTGTCCTTAAAAGTGAGTCTCTTGTGGGTAGCAAACCACCGGACCTTGGTTTTGTTTTGTTTTTTTATACATCCAGTTACTCCACGTCTTTTGATTAAAGAATTCAAGCCATTCCATTTACATTTAAAGCGATTACTGACAGGTAAACTATAACAAAATAGCTATTTTATTCATTGTTTTCTGACTATTTGTAGATCTATTCTTCTTGTCTTCCTCTCTTGCTATATTCCTATGCAATTTAAAGACTTTTGTCATGGTATGATTTGATTCCTTTCTCCCAATATTTTGTGTATCTGTTACAAGTTTTTCCTTTTTTGGTTATTATGACACTTACATAAAATATAGTATATTATTTTAAACTTAAAACAACTTCAATTATATACAAAAACTATGCTTTTACTCCTCTCCACTCACATTTTAGGTTATTGTTGTTGCAATTTACATATTTTATGTGTGTCTAATAACAAATTATTGTAACACTTTTTTTTTTTTTTTTGAGACAGAGTCTCGCTTTGTTGTACACGCTAGAGTGAGTGCCGTGGCATCAGCCTAGCTCACAGCAACCTCAAACTCCTGGGCTCAAGCAATCCTTCTGCCTCAGCCTCCCGAGTAGCTGGGACTACAGGCATGCGCCACCACGCCCGGCCAATTTTATATATATATTAGTTGGCCAATTAATTTCTTTCTATTTATAGTAGAGACGGGGTCTCGCTCTTGCTCAGGCTGGTTTCGAACTCCTGACCTCGAGCAATCCGCCCGCCTCGGCCTCCCAGAGTGCTAGGATTACAGGCGTGAGCCACCGCGCCCGGCCTATTTCTAACACTTTTTAAAAAACTTTTATGTCAGAGTTGAGAGTGATTTATGCACTACCATTACACTATTAGAAATTCCTATAGGCTCTCTTCACTCTTTCTAATTCATTTTTCCCTTTTGCTCCTCTGGCTATTAAATTTATATCACCTGTCTTAGAGTTCACTGATTCTTTCTTATGCTTAATTGAGTCTACTGTTGAAGTGCTCTATTGAATTTTTCAGTTCAATCACTGTATTCTTCACCTTTAGGATTTCTCGGGGGGTTATATCATTATGGTTTTTCTTTGTTATACTTCTCATTTTGTTCACGTATTATTTTCCTAATTTCAGTTAGCTATCTGTGTTTTCTTGTTATTCATTAAACTTCTTTAAGGGAATTATTCTGAATTCTTTTTGTCAGTCAGCTCATAGAGATCCATTTCTTTAGGGTCAGTTAGTGGAGCTTTTTAAGTTTCCTTTCATAGCTTCATATTTCCTTGATTTTTCATGATCCCTGCATCTTGCATTGATTTCTGCACATTGAGGAGTTAATCACCTTTTTTCACGCTTCACACTTCAACAGTTCATCCAGCCTGAGGTACTGGATGGGCCAGTTGATAGCATCTGTGGGCATGTTGTCAGGGTACCCAGTTTGGCAGTTTCCGCCCATCCTCTGAGATTGGATAAGGCTGTCAACTGGGCTCTTTGGTTGAGCAGCTCTGCTGCCCGGGCTCTACATTCAGAAGGGGCTGTTGGCTGGGCTTACCTGTTTAGGCAGAGATGCTAGCTAGGGTCTGTAATTGTCCCTGGTTGGGTGGGGCCCCAGGCTGTGCTCCCCAGCAGGGTGGTGCTGCTGGCTGAACTATGTGTTCACTTGGGGCTGCAGGTTAGGCAGTAACTGAACTGGGCCTCAGGTTGTGTTCCACAGTTGGACAGGGCCATAGGCTGTGCCCTGAGGTTGGGCAGAATCATTGGTTGTGTTCTCTCCCTGGGCAGGACCACTAGGTATGCTCTGTGGTCCATCAAGGTTGCTACCAGGCTCTCAGGTCAGGTAGGCCTGTGGGCTGTGCCCCATAGTAGGACAGACCTACACACTGGACTCTACAATCAAGTAAGGCTGCTGGCTGTGACCCAAGGTTGGACAGGATCACTGGCAGGGCTTCCTACATTTGTTTCTTACTGTTTCACAAATCCATCTTATTAAATGTTCAATCTGTGGGATTTTGTTCAATGCCTGGTTCAGGAGGTATGGACTACATGGATGACTGGGAAAAAAAAAGAAAGAACAAAAAAGTCCCTCTGGCTCCAGGGCACTCTAGCTAACAAATGGCTGTCCCCAGTCATTTCCTGAGACTCACATTCTACCAGAGACCCCTGTACTGCAGAAGGAGCTGATCAGCTCCAAGTCTAGCTATGCCAGGAGCCCTTTGTTTCCTAGAGTCTGGATGCCATCACCCCAAGACTACTAGACACCAGCTCCTATAGCTCCTGTGACCTCCATCTAAACCACTGCCTATCAGATAGCCCATGGAGATTCCGAGCTCACGGTGTTTAGGCAAAACTTCCTACCCTACTAAACAGAAGTGACAACTATAATTTTATTTATGACAAATAAGAGTAGGTCTGAAAGTTGAAAACTGGAGGGGAGATTTCATTATGCCCATATTTGTGAGATTTGATTGCATTTTCTTTTTATTAGATCCTGGTGGAAACCTCTTCCAACGTGAGGATGGCAAAGGTGTAGGAACTGCTTCCATGGCCTCTGCTGGCCATACTTGGTGGCAGCAGGTCCTGTCAAATCATTTTGAATGGTATTAGATGGGTACTCACACACACACCCTGAGCACAAAGTGGCTGGAGTTAGCAGGAGTTGGGGGGAGGGAGAGGACAAGGGGACAGGAGTTATAACTTCCTTAAATGAGAATTATGGTCTAAACCAGTGGTTCACAACTGAGAACTATATTATTATCTTTCAGGGCACATTCAGCAATGTCTAGAGAAATATTTGGTTGTCATAACTGGGGATATGTTATTGGAACCCAGTAAGTAGAGGACAGGAATGCTGCTAAACATCCCACAATACAAAGACAGTCCCTCCCCACAACGAAGAATTACTACATCCAAAATATCAGTAATGCCAAGTTCCAGAAACATGGGTCTAAACCGAAGGGCTTACAAAGCATGTGTGGACCCTTGCTCTGTACCTCCCAGTACTCCCAGGTTCATGGGGTGGGGGTGAGGGACCTTCTTTGCTGTCTCTATGCAGTGACTGAGATCACCACAGAGACTCTGGACTCTGAAATCTCACACATACATATATCATACATTATTGGCAAATAAATGGCCTGGTTTATAAATCTTGATTTTATTTTTCTTATTTTATCTTCAGTGACTGATCTTGGAGGAAACAAAAAAAAGGCCAATGTCTGTATCAGAGCCCAGACTATTTCCCTGCCATCTTGACATTAGAGAGCTGCCGCAATCCCCTATTTTGTTTCCTGGCCATCTGGACACAGTGGAAGTCTTGCGTGAAGTCCACCCTGCCTTTTGGGATTTCTGTCTGCTTCCCATCCTTTGGGTGTTTTAATGTTAATCCCCTTTGCAGAATACCACTAATGAACACTCAATAAAAATACACAGCTCTTCAGCTCACTGAGAATTTCCCCTTCCATTTCAACTAGATAATGATGCTCTTTGTTCCTTCCACTATATAAAATTCTGGTATATTTCTTCTGTCTGTAATAAAAGTACATCAAAATAAAAGCAGGCAGCTGGCTACATTTGGAATACACCACATAATTATACTAGAGAACATAAGATCATGAAAAAATATACATTAAAAGCTCACTAATTCAGACTTCCCCAATTCTGAATTTGTGATCAAACACAGTAGTCTAAAATCTACTGTTCCATTTGTTCTCAAAATAAAAGGATTAAGACAACCAATAGTAGATAAGAAAAGAAGAATATTTACCTTCCCAAGAGAGTAAATTATTATCAGGTACTTACTTAGAAGTATCAATTTATATGTAAACACCACAATTACACTGTAAGCAAATAACAGCTGCAGAGCCTGGATTTTTAATATGCAAACCTCAGAGGGTTCTCCTAGTCACAAATGATGTGACTTAATCCCATGACCCAGGGTGAGTCCTGCTTCTTCATACTTTCATTTTTAGAAAAAAGCCTGGAGCAGCTGGAAATAAAGGACCAATGGACAGTGTGGTAATGGCTACCTGAAGAATGGGCTAGTGCCCTGAGGAGGCAGGGGGAGGGCAGGGCCCAGAGCATGCTTGATAGACACCTCAATAGATAGCTCCCCCAATCCATGAACCACCATTGTTCCTGGACCACAGTGAACACAGTTACAAAGAGGGCTTCTTGGAGATGCTTGCAGTTTCCTCCAGACTAGTCCTCCCACCATATCCTCAGATATCCTCTGGCTACTCTATACCTCCTGCTGAATGTTTCTAAGACATACACTCACACCCTTAGATCTCCTACTCCAAGAAGAGAAGCATCAAGATACTACTGACCTCTTTGCTTTCTGGCTCAGTAACTACAGGAATATCATAGTGCTCACCCTGATAACCTCCAAGTTAGACACATGACCTTTTAAATTGTCTCTTAGTCATTTAAGTTTATTAGAGAAAGGACATTTTAGGGACAGTAAACATGTTTTATTCTTGGCAGTTGGTGGTCCTCTCCTACCCACTCTCCTCTCGCACCCACTCTCCTCTCGCACCCACTCTCCTCTCGCACCCACTCTCCTCTCCCACCCACTCTCCTCTCCCACCCACACTCCTCTCCCACCCACTCTCCTCTCCCACCCACACTCCTCTCCCACCCACTCTCCTCTCCCACCCACACTCCTCTCCTAGCCATACTCTTCTCCTATTTTACCTTTTGTGTCAGTGGTCAGGCTTTCCTTTTCCCCCAGACTTTGTCTTCCTCACAGCTCAGTCTTATTAGTGGGAGAGCCATCCCTCCACACTGTAAAGAAAGTCTCATCTGACTTAGATGACATGGAGCTGCAAAAAAACCTGAAGAGCACTGACAGCCAAGGACAAAAAATCTTCAGTTTATTGCCCCCAAAATGACCTCCCTCTAACAAATTTAAACAACTAGGAGACAACTTACAAGTTCACATGTATAATTTACAAGTTATAAGGGTGAGCACCATGACATGCGGGTAGCTACCAATGAACCCCCTCATCATCTCCACTCAAGGCAGCTGGACCTGTCACCCCAAGCCACCACTGCATCCCATGCTCTAGAGCAAGAGTCCTAAAACTACAGCCTCTGGGCCACATGCGGGTGTTTTTGCCCATTTGTTTTTTACTTCAAAATAAGATATGTGCAGTGTGCATAGGAATTTGTTCATAGATTTTTTAAAACTGTAGTCCAGCCCTCCAACGGTGTGAGGGACAGTGAACTGGCCCCCTGTTTAAAAAGTTTGAGGACCCCTGCTCTAGAGAAAACCACTTGCTGATATCATCCTGGCACGGTCTTTCAAATAAATGATCAAAACCGTCTCATAAAAATTTAGTTTTTTTGATGGCTTCAGTATTTAGACTCAGATATAAACAT